CACCTGTTTTTTAGAGGTCTGCGTTTGCTCTACTCCAAATTTGAATTGTTTCAACGGACTTTTGAGATTGATAACTGTTCGTTATCTTCATTTCACACACCTGTAAACCCGGCGACATGTGTATCGGGTTTTATCACAGTCCAGTCAAATACGAACATTTGTTGTTGTTGTTGTTTTTTTTTTGGTTACTGTAAAAAAATATTTTTAAGTATATTGTAAAGTGAAACGGTTCAATATCTATATTTGGATAACGGTTAATACAAATTGGAGTAATTTACTTCTTTCAAATTAAAATCAATTTTATTTCTCGTTCGACCCCCCCCCCCCCAAAAAAATAAGAATCAAACTATGGAATTCCACATAGGACAGCCAACTGCCACTATTTAATGCCTAGTGTGGCTGCCTATTGTTACTGCTTACAGATGATACAGCCGACTGCATTTTTACGATGTACTTTTTTAAAAAGCTGGCGGAGAAGTAGGAATAAAAAAACAAGACAAGATCCAACATCAGTTAGCATGAAGGACAAAAAAATTAAATATAAATCTCTATCTAAACTCTAGAGCTAAATCCCATATTTTTTTTAATTAAGGTCCTTTGAAAGTGTTTTGCTAAAATCCCAAATAAGACGATCAAGTTTAACAAATGTTTAGGAACATACTTAAGTGTTATTTTCTAACTCTTTGCTATTCTCATTTGAAAATTTTTGTTTATTTAATATCAACTTACATGCATATTGTTTTCTTAAGATTAACATTAGCTCTTCCGTTAATCTTACTATTGTACAAACGAAACCCTCCTACTTTCTTTTAAGGGATGTATATACCTTAAGTTAGTCCTCAACAAAGCGGTGTACTGTACCATTGAGTTTTGTTTAAAAAAAAATTCATTTATCATTGAAATAAAAACAAACAATAGCCATACAAATAATCGCAGGGCATGCCTGATGTAATTTTTTTTTAATTCTAAATGATAATTCTCCAAGTCAAATATTTTTTTCAAGAGGAAGAGATAACACTACTTATTATACCTTTGCCTTAGTCATCAATGTACTGTCTCTTATAATTTTACAAGCAGCAGTTTCACATAGTGTATGGTCCAAAACCTGATTACTCACCAGGTAAGTATGAACAAAAAGAATTAAAACGTGGTTTTAAGTAGCCTGGTCATCAGATTTTCAAAATAAGGAGTTAAGTGAAAATGCTTACAAAAATGTCTCTGAATTCTCAAAGTAATGTGTATCTAACCATGGTATTTCTTCGTCTCATTCATCTTAATAGGAAAAGAGATGCCGTTACGGAAAAACAGAAAAATGACAAAAGCAGAATTTTTGCATGACACATGCAAATTTTATTCAATTCTTGAATGATCGGTTTCAGAATATAAAAATCTCCTTTTATGGAGAAAAATCTTCGGTATGCCCCAAGAAGAAAATAATATTTTACATCTTCTTCTTTCCTCCTACGCGTGCGCAGAAAAGTTGTAGCAATCACCATGGCCTCAAGTTGCAAGAAATAAATATGTCGGTAGACCGAGGATTTTGATACAATCTTCCAAAAAACTATTAGGACACACTAGTATTCCTCATCTTTGCATGCTCTGATTTAATGTTTTTACATGTTTTACTCTTAAAATATGTCGTGTGACCTTGATATTGACAACAACAAAGATACGGTAAATGCGACCTATTTTTTTCTGGCACTCATATTTTGCAGTCTTTCTTGCTTTACAGTGAGGATGAGTTCGTAAAACTTTGTTATATACCTATTTCTCATGTCTTTCGCTTTGTGACAGAAATATCTTAAAGGAAACCCATTATTTTTGACTCATTATATAACTTTAATCTTAGTTTTATAGAAAAATTATCAAATCTCAAATATATTTTCAGTAAAAGCAAATAAAAGCACCTACTATGCATTTTCTTATTGAAAATTTATTTAAAATATATATATATATATATATATATATATATATATATATATATATATATATATATATATATATATATATATATATATATATATAAGTAGCCACACATTTGGATAAAATTGTTATTTTTTCCCTTCCTCATACCGTACGTCATCTATTTACTCCTATTGTTCTACAATACATAATATAAAAGCCTGTGCTATCTCTAAATTTGTATTCATTTATTTTAATTTTATAAAGGACAGATGTCAACTTTTAATAAGACCGTTTGTAAGATTTCAAAGAATCTTGAATCATATTGAAATACCTGAAATGAAAATTGTTGCACGGAAAAAATTCAATTTCAAGCTTCATTTTGAGACACTTTTAATTAAATAATAATTTTATGAGTTAAATATTCTTCCTGGCTAAAGAGCGGATATCTTTAAATTCATATTCATGACAACAGACAACAGATAAAAGCAGACGCTTCTATTCTTTAATGTATAACAATGTGTAAATATCCAGGCTTTAACGAAGGAATAACTCTAGCTGATATTGTGGGAAAAAAGAGACAACTTTTGGCATCCATTGTTTATTCTCAGAAAATACATCACTATATTAAACATGTATGAAATTTTCTATTTCGGGCCAATAAAACAATATTGGATACAAAAAGAAATTAATTCGAAAACAGGCATTCAACAACAGATCCTAGCTAGCTGGCTGTATAAAACTTTTCGTTTTCTTCATCATGCTATTTTCATTTATTAAGCATTAGTTTAAAAAAGATTTCTCACATTCCTTCTATAATATTAACTCTTTTACATCTCTTTTAGTTTTAAAAAGAAAATACATGTAAAAATTCTTTCAAATATAAAAATTTGACGTCAATTTCCATTGAAGTCCAGATGACAAATCAACATCTTCACCAAATTGTCATAAAGAATTACACTTCTAATATTGTCATAAAGAATTACACTTCTAATATTGTTATCCATTAATTAAAGCACGTTGTAAAACACTGTTTTGAAATACCTTTAAGGACATGATTAATTGATTTTGTTTTGCTAATTAATGTACTGAGGGATTTATTTTGTGGTTTGATAATATTATAGAAAATCTAATGTATTCCCTGAAAAAGTTTAAATTCGACACTTCAAATATTTTTCAATATATTCCTATATGTAAGATAAGGATGGATGCCTCTTAAAGATTTTAAATAGGAAAACTTTGTAATTAATATGTATTTCAACAATACATTTCAGCTATAATAAGGACTGTACAATTGCCTCTATTAATTAATGTAAACGTTTTAGTATACCTTTGCCTTAAAGTCATTTATGGCGTATTTTTTTTTATAAGTTCAGACTAACTAAAATTAAAAAAAATCTTTCTATTTGTTTTATTACTTTATTTCATTACACAATTTAAATCAATCATGTTTCAAATATATAAGAAATTTAAACCAATAACCGATTTATTTACCGACTCCCCATTTAAATAACAGACACAGTTTAAAGTCAATTTAACTATGGAAACATAGGGTTATTAAATTTTAAGTTCAAAATCGGTGAAAATTTTATTTTGAAGGTAAATAACATATATCATGTTTATCTACACTCAATCTCGTATTTTTATTTTTTAGCATCAGATACGCCATATATAGCTTTAAATGTAGCTTTGTTCTCATTCAATTTGACCAAGTATTATGTTCTCATTCAAACTCGTATGAGCATAATTACAAATTAAATAAAAAAAACAGTTCATGTGCTTGTAATAGTATTAACCATCTTTTTTTAACCACAGCTTTACATCACCTCTTTTGAAAAGTTTACACCAGACATACCTTGCATAAGCTTTTATAATATTTCATTTTTAGGCACAGGTATCTCCTTCCCGTATCTTTTGAAATTGCAATTAGTGTCTAATTAAATTTCGTCTTCGGTCTTTTCCTTCTATTTTCTTCCCTTTCTGAGTGGGTGTCTTTGTAACTGGGGCGTTTTAAACCGATTCGAGCGTTTTTGTTCTTTTTATCGGAAACGACAGTAAGCATTCGGATAATTTTAGCTCCGAAGATCACACATCTATCTGGATGAGTAAGTGATGTTCTGTACGCCTCATATGCATCTGTGTAATACCCGGACAATTGTTGAGCGATCCCAAGGATATGCCAGGAGATGTTTTTTAGATCAAAGGGAACAAATTTTCCTTCATCAGTATCAAGTAAGTCCTTCAATTCGCATAAGGTATGGTCGCGGCCTTTTATGTTTCCAAGCCGTATGTTGCTAAGGACAATGAGAAAAAGTGTCAATACGTATGGAGGAACATGAAAACATGCGTTATCTGAATGTGTTACATGCTGTTCTATTCCTAATTCATCTAGATAGGAGACTAAAGAAGAAAGACCAATATCTACAGCTACAGCTTCTCTAAGCTTTGTAGTCCATGATTTGCCCTTACCATATTTCATGAACTCAGCTTTTTTGACAAAGCCATGTATATATAAAACATGATGTTGTTCTAGATCTTTCTTTATCTTTCTCGCATAGCTAAGGGCTTCTTCATATCTGGACTTTCTGTAAAGGTACATCCCGTAGAAAAGATTGTCCGAAAGGAACCCATGTTTGGCTGCAACCTCCAACAAGTAACCAGATTTACAAACATCACTTGTCCTTCCGGAATTAAGTACAAGAAATGCCAAATGGGTGAACAAAGTACAAACTTGTTCTCTTACAGCTATCATTTGAACAGGAATCAAGGTTTCCTTTTGCATAAGTCTTTTTATGGTGAGCATATAAATTTTCAGGTACGGTAATTTTGCAAATTCTAAGTAAAATCCTACTTTATGATTAATCTCATTGAATAAATTGAAATCTAAACTAAAATTCCTAATCACATGAAGAGGAGTCTTCATTTTGTACTTTTCAGGGATACATGGCATTAAGCAGGTATAACCCATGCTATATAACAAATAAAGTTTTTCAAGCAACTTCATTCTGGAACTACCCACAATTTTAGCATGAAACATGTTGTTTTCCTGAATGAAAAAGTTTGGTAAATTACCCTTATAAATACAAAATATTAAATGCTTAAAGCAATTCCAAAAACAGTTTATCAAGTTTTCTGGTGACCAAAATGATTCTTCCTTTTTCTTGTATCATGTAAAACATTATAGTTTTCAAAAAGTAGGAACACAACAGTTCTTTATCATCCATCAATGGCTTGATTATTTTGCTGAGAAAAATCTTGAACAGGCCATAACACGTAAACTGAACATGGTTCATGCAGTGTACACATTTCAATTCAATAAGATTGAAGGAAATTCGCCATTCATAATCCTGTTTTGGCGAGTTTTTACGACCAATTGGAACAAAATGACAACCTGTTCTTCTGGCGTATTGCAATACGGTAGAATCGGGCCAACCTTTCGTTAGGCAACGTTTTATCCATGAAGAGACTACTTCTGGAAGAATATCACATTTCATTGAATGAGCATTGTCATATCGAAGTCCATTTCCTAACTGACCTCTTGCACAAGGTCCGTGTATTTGTGAATTTTCAACAACTAATTTTTTGGTGGATTCCCTATACTTTGAACTCGACATGTAGGTTCCTTTTTCCAATGTGACATAACTATTACGAACAATAGGCCAATCAGACCACTTTTTGACTTTCAGGAGGACGGATCCCGGACTATCATTACAATACTCCATCATGATCAATGTTTCTTGGTTGTATAGGTTTTCGTGGCTCGGATGATAAATAACTTTGTGGTCAGTCCACCAGTAGAGAAAATCGGCGTCAGATTCTTCAAATCGGAATCCCTCCCTGTGACTCCCAGTCACCACACGGAAAAATGTAGGGCGTTTTCTACAGGGTAATTTCACTGTCGATGAAGCTGAATTATAGATAGTTTCTTCAATATCCATTATCTCTCTCCTGATATCCACTATTGTCGGAGTACCAACCTCCATTTGAAGCAATAGGTACACTTCCTGAGAAAGATTTGATTCACTTTCCATTTTAAACATGTCCGTATGCGTGTTTTGTTTACAGCTGGGCTGGTACCCTGGCATTACGGTCTCTACTGGTTCCCTGATATTAGAGAGTACAATCGATCAGATTAAAGGGCAGGTAGCCTAATAAGTGTTTTATATTAATAAAGCAGGATGATAAAAGGTGTAACGCTTTTGACAGGTCAATGTTTTGTGTAACTAAGCGCAGATCTTCTAAATGACAAATTTGAACGGTCTACTGTGTTGTATCGTCACTGCACACCGTGAGAAATTCTTTGAATATTTAAAAAGACGATAGGATATATATAGCTGAAATGAGAAACTTTGTCGGTATTTGTCATTCGCTATATTCAAATCACGTGCATTAAACATGCACGTGATATGAACTCAATAGCACTCAACAAAACTCGATTGATAAGAAAGAAACTCATGGAAATTATTTAAGAGAACTAAGTTATCAAATCTACTTTTGTCACAACTTTTGTAGAGAATATAAGGATTCACTGGTATTGACCGACTGTCCAATACTACATCCAACAAGGCGACGACAGAAACTGTTTGAAAATCTCATGTAGAGAAGTTAATTTATAAGAATTTTATCTTAATTTTTAATTAACAGTATTCTTTAAATAAATATATCATTATTATAAGCAGAATATGAACCAATAACTTCCTTTAACAATTTGCACAGAAATTAATTTAAATTGATGTCGAAATATCTTTTACTACTTTAAATTAAACGTCAGAGACGAATATAACTTTCATGGCGGAATTTTAATTTTTGGAAGGTAAAATCTGGTTTTAAAAAATCCAACTCATGAAATATTGTGTTTTGCGTGTATGGGAGGGGAAGAGATCCCTGATACGCAAATTGATTTAATTTGATTCATCGAGAAACTTTTTTAATACCTTCTGAATGATAAACCCATGCCCTCCAGCATGATAGAACGTAGCAACGGTAAACAATGCTTGACGACAGGTGATAGCCCCCCCCCCCATTCCCCAATTTACGAATTTTTTCCCACCGCTGCAGTAATGTTTGTCAATAAAATGCTTTTGTTAGCATAATACTACAAGTCAAAAGGGTGTTGGGGACCGATTGTGGAACTATTCTGGTGGAAAGGTTAGGGCCTGCATATGAAATTCAAAATTACATATACAATGCCCATGCTTATTGACAATTATACTAATATATAATTTCTATTTTGTACAATTTTACTAGTAACTTATTAATTTTATTTTATACAGATTTTAAGGTGCGCAAAAGTGTCTGCAAGCTCTGTAATTAATGATTCTATTTTTTATTCATATTTTAGCAATCTATCTTCCAATCAAACCTTCGTTTAAAGTGATAGGTATACATGAGGCGCCGTTCTGGTATTAATTGCTGTAAGTGATATCGCTTATTCAAATAGGTGATATCATTGAAAAGGGGATTATATCACCTATTGGAATATGTGATATCACTCATTTCAATAGGTGATATCACCTACTCGTTTTGAATTGGTAATATCACTTATTTGAATGAGTGATATAACCTCTTTAAAATTCTTACTACATTAAATAATGAGTGGTCCCTTCTTTACGACAATGTAGCTTCAATGGAAAGTAAAGACTTTCGATGAATTTATTTCTTAGCATTCATTAAAAAAATGAAATTTATTTCCTTACTCTTAACCAAACATTTTAATTAGATAATACAAAATTTTCTGTACTTATTGAACTTAATTTGAGCCACATCCCTTTGTATTTGGCAATGATTGGTCAAATAAACTGAAGATTCGCCATATGATCTCCCTTTTGTGCAGACAATGAAGAAGGAGGGTAGATGGGGGGGGGGGGGGTCGTACGTTATACGCATATATGTACACAGAAAAGGATCAATAGATAAACCCGATTTTAGATATGAAAAACTGATTCCGATTGACACTTAGCAAATTTGGGCTGCCCTATTCCCCTGTGTTATGGTCTAAGATAATTTAAAATACCATATATAATTGGTCCCTTTGAAGTTACATGTATATATTATTTAACTAGCAGTCAGATATGCCATATTTACTGATTGTCACTCTTTTGTTGTGCTTTACAATGTCATATTAAATGATTAGAGAGGTAGTTTCCAAGTTGAAGTAAAACATTCATATTTTCACATGACATTGTAATGAATCAAAACTTCAAAAATATTTTTGAGAACTATCTAAGCTCTTAAAATTTTCATTATGTTTCTGTGCATCATTTATAAGTTTAGTTCTTTTTTAGTTGTAAAAAGGACAATTTATGGTAAAATGTATTTCATTTTCCACTACATTCAAATAACATTTTCCACCTTTTCTTTTATCTCTTATATATTCGAATAAGTGATATCACCTATTCAAATAGTTAATATCACTGTATTGCAGTAAATACCAAAACGGCTCCACTCAGGTATACTGCCTGAGAGAAAATTGACTAAAAGCACTATATCACAATTTTTAGTAAGCATTCTATCACTTTGTTTTGTTGTTCGCTGCAATTCTTTATCAGTGTGATAAATATTCTATATAAAAAGAATCTTCTATACACATATTAAAGAATAAGCAATAAAATCTTTATATCGATATTGGCATTTTTTATTTGCCTCAATATACATGTATACATTTAATAATTTTACAAATCCAGGAGGGTCCGACCCCCCCCCCCCATCCCCCTAGAACTGCGCATGCTCTTCTTTTTTCTGAATTTTCTGAATTGCCTTTTCGTTTTATTTATTGTATTAAAAATCGCTTGGCACTATTTTTAGCACAGGGGCATGTGAAGAGTTATTACGTACAAAACAGGTAGTCGGAGGACTTTAAAATCAAATTACATCTGTTAGAACTGTTCAGTAAAGGCTAAATTAGACATCATGTATTGTGTAAAATTTTGACAATATCGAACGTAAATATACACATTATATGTGACCTAATGTTTGTATTTTATTTAATGTATTCAGATAAGTTCATCCGTGGTCTAGGGGTATGATTCTTGCTTAGCAAGTGATAGGACCCGGGTTCAAATCCCGAACGATCCCTTTTTTGAAATTTTTTTATTTATTTTTTTTTTTTTTATTTTTTTTTTTTTTTTATTTTTTTTTTTTTTTTTTGAATTAGTAAATGATAGTATTCAACCTATGAATTAAAAAAGTTATGACGTCTGGCATGTGCAAACTTATAAAATCATTATTACAGTGTGATAAATATTCTTTTAAAAAAGAATCTTCTATGCACATATTAAAGAATAAGCAATAAAATCTTTATATCCATATTGGCATTTTTTATTTGCTTCAATATACATGTATACATTTAATAATTCTACAAATCCAGGGGGTCCGACCCACCCACCCCCCCCCCCCCCCTTAGAACTGCGCATGCTCTTTTTTCCCTAAGCGGAGGACACAGATTCTCTGAATTAGCTTGTATATTTTATCCTGAGATATAATTGTGGATCGATTTCCAACTAGAAAATGCATACACATCAAAATTGGTACCGTATATGATTTACATACAGGTAATTGATGTTTTATTCACATGTCCTTAAAATATATTTAAGATTTTTTTTAATAATTATATTCATATAATATGACTAAATATAATGATGAAGTTTGAAGACAATTAATGGGTGGATATAATGACTTTGAGAATTCAGTGTCATTTTTGTGGGAAATATCAGTTACTTACTAGTAACTTCTGATTTTAAAACCCAATAGACGGACAAATTTAAATTAAAACAATTCGTTCCATTTATAGAATTTATTAAGTATGATTACACTATGAACACAATCATCAATATTTCGACTACCAATCAAATTCAAATACGTATTGGTTAGAGACCATTCTTCAAACATTTTTCGTGAGAATAAATTATTTATTGGCAAGGAATTATCAAATTTTAAACAGAAGTTGCTTTTATTAATGAATTAAACTGAGTTGCCCTTCCTGTGGGAACAAGATATTATCAATAACTAGCGTGTCTTAACATTTTCTCTATGAACACATTTTTCAAATTATCTCGGAATCTAATTCTACTATGTGTTTTATGGTGCAATTAAAATTCAAATTCTGGTACAGTACATGAGCCCTATAATTGTCTCTAGAAAAAAAATGACATCTAGCATCAGCTGATGAGAAAAGGGGTTACTCGAATCCGGTGACCTAGATACCTAAGTACATGGCATTCTTTCATGATTCTCTATATGGCCAATTCCTTTAGTGTGTAAAATTCCTACGAATTTGTGAAAAAATGATGTTTCAAACTTAATTATTGAATCTGCCTTCAGTTCGTGATGTAAGGCTTTTTTTTCATCGAATTGGTAGACACATTACCAAAAACGTTTGCCAGAGTTACCAAAAACGTTTGCCAGAGAAATCTTTTAAATTTTAAACTAAAAATCAAAAGAATTTCAGTAGAAGTTAAACATTGCACATGTGTTAACAAATAGTGCGTTTCGTTTGTGTGATTTATAAATATAATTTTAGATTTAAAATTAACCCCTCAAATTAACTTCAAAGGTGCAATTTTTAAAATAATTGTGAAGCTAATTATAAGCGTGTTGTGCAATATTTCAATGATGTTTTATTTTCATAGGAAATAAAGGAGAAAATTTTCAGCGGATGTAAATATCTTTAACAAAACAAACAGAAATGTTATATTCCTATTCCTTAGTAGCACGCTTACTGTTAAAATTTATTTTGATATTTTTTTGATGGTTGGGATTTTTTTTTCAATTATTGTATACAAAAGCAAGGGAAGGAATGGCATCACTTCCATTCACTACCTCCAACAGCTTTATTTGGACAACCTTTTGTACGAAATATCATATAATGTGTTTCTCTTAAGTTAAGGGTAAGTTCAATGTACATGTATCATCCATTTCTCAATTTTCTTCAGATAACATTTATATTGACCGATCATCTTGGTACTTCTTTTCAGCATACATTGCTGAATGCCCATCGTCGGAACTCGAGGGTTTCTCTCCGTTACACTACATTCCACTACACTGAATATAGTGTAATGGAGAGAAACCCCGTGGGTTCCGACGATGC